CAAACAAGCCTAGTGGCTTGTTTCCATGGTAACTCTGGAGCCTGTTAAACTGACAATCAATATTAGTCATAGTAGCAGTTCTGCCAGTGTTGCTCCTTTATTAAATTCACATAGATTTTGACTTTTGGTAACTGAGGGTTTACTTACCTCCTTGTCATGACAAACCCTGAAGGTGCAGAAAGATAATCTTGCATTACAACATTGTTTTTCTAGTTTATAAAGAGTATTATTTTGGGCACAGTATCTCACTAACCTTGAAGTAAGTAAGCAGATAAATAAAAGAAATTTAGTTGCTTAATAAGGGAAAGTGAATTCTACTTTATTACACTTGGCATTAATAAAAACCAAAGTACAGTGTTAAAAATGTTACTGCATCAGTATTGTTTATTTGCCCATTTTAAGTGGTATTGTAAAGTCATTTTGATGTATGTGGGTTTTTTTTCCTAAAGGTTAATACATTAAATCTACTACTTGCTAGGGATAAGCATGGATAACAGTGCTCTGGAGTTTTATGGTCAGAAAAATATAGTTTGGAGTCTGTAGGTAGATATTCTGATAATGACAGCCAACACCTTTTGAGCTATGAGGGCACTACACATTGGCTGGAATTCTTTGAGATGATGGTGGTTTAACTCCCACTATTAAGTTTATGATGTCGTTCAGGGTTAGATCTCATTCATAATGGTGGCAATAGCTCACATTTACAAGGCACTTTCATCCTGAAGGATCCTAGAGTGCCCTAAGCACACACCTTCAGGAATGGCTATTCCCTGTGATGCAGACATTTCTTCAGAAAGTGACCCAAAAGGTCATAGTAGTTCGGTAGTCACTAAGGACAGGGTGATAAGAATAATCAGTCAGGGCAAATTTTGGAGCAATAGAATATACTTAGCCATGTTCCAGCATACTCATCTTTACAGCCTTCATAAAGTTTCCACAAAGCTTGCAAATGGTCATAGGGTCAGGGCTTGACTTTTAAACGCCTCTTGATGAACTTTACTATAATCTCTTAAAATTATGCCAACTTAGTACTTTTATTTTCTGAGTTAATAGTTATCTTCTGGTTTAATTCAAAAATAGGTGTGTATGCCACCTCCAAAATACTCAAATGTTTATTATAAATATCTAAATTGGTGTGTATGTGTATACGTGTGTGTGTGTGTGTGTGTGTGTGTGTGTGTGTGTGTGTGTGAGCGTGTACACAGGTATACCTGTGTGAACATTAGGAAATAATTAATAGTCAGGGAAGGATGTCAGAGTGATTTTAAAATTCCTCTCCCTTTGTTCAGACAAATGCAAATTAAAACCAAGAAGCTTCATTTTCTCTGATGAAAATAAGGGGAAAGAGACTGTCCCTTTCCCTTTCTTAGAGGACTGGTTTCAGCAAACATGCAATCTTAAGTTCTTTCTCTGTCATTTTGAAATGCACCTAAATCTTTTAAAAATTAGATTACCCTTTAATACTTTTATGATTCAATGATGTCTTTTCAAAGACCTTGGAACCATTTCTTTGAAAAATAATTACCAAGAAGGACAGTCCCCTTAGTGTCTGTGGATGATAGAAATACAACTTCAGATGGTGCCTGGCTCCAAAGCTACTTCTTGTCATAGAGATGAAAGGAATTTATTTTTCCTTTGGGTAAAATCAACTGTGTTACACAAATGGTCACCCCAGTTATCAAGTGGGATTGAGATGAACTTGTATGACAAACGGTGCTGTCAAACTTTCTTACTCACTGACTATTGCACACCTTGAGAACATGTATAGGATTGGTTGTGTCTGCTTGTCTGTGTCAGGGGGAGCTTTCCTTCTGTCCTTGTAATCTCTGAATAGACTGCTTGTGATGAATGTCATATTCTGGGACAATGCCTACCCAGTAATTAAACTTTTCTCTCTTACCTTTGGGGACACATTTTCTGGGAGGTTTTATTTTGAAAGTTATTTTCTCAAAACCTTTTCCTTTTTGTAGCCAGAAATGGCTGTTCATGTCTATAATCCCAGTACTTATGACACAGTGGCTAGAAGATCAGGAGTTCAAGGCCAGCTTTGGCTACACAGAGAATCTGAGGTCAGCCTGGTCTACAAGAGAGGCTCTGCCTCTCTTGGTCTCAGAAGAACAGCATGGAGTTGGGCAGAAGCTGTATGCCCACACCACTACCCCATGCAACTTCATGTATGTCATAAGCAAACCTCAAGGCACTGAGGAGAGATTTGTAGCAGCTTTTTTTCTTTTTGGGAGTCTGCTACCAGCTCCCAAATAAATACACAGAGACTTATTTCTACTTATAAATGACCAGCCTTAGCTAGACTTGTGTTTAGCCAGCTTTTCTAACTTAAACTATCCCATTCCTCTTTAAAAAGCCTCTGGGCTTTTTACCTTTCTTTATTCTATCCATCTTTCTTCTCTTTTTACTCCATGGGTAGTTGTGTGACTCGATAGCTGGCTCTTGGCATCCTCCTCTCTTCCTTTTCTTACCCCTGTCTTTTCTATATTTCTTCTCCTATTTATTCTCTCTGCATGCCAACCCTGCCTATCCTTTCTCCTGCTTTGCTATTGACTATTCCAATAGCTCTTTATTATACCAATCAGATGTTTTAGGCAGGCAAAGTAACACAGCTTTACAGAGTTAAACAAATGCAACATAAAAGAATGCAGCACATCTTTGCATCATTAAACAAATATTCTACAGCATAAATGAATGTTTCACATCTTAAACTGATATTCCACAACAGAGATTCCTATTGGTATTGCGTTGCAAGCATTTGGTGCTAATAAGCATGCTTAATTTTATTTAAAATTATTCTGCCATATTAAAACCTAACTTTCAGAGTGGTAGGTTGGCTTCTGCATCCTCCCAGTTTTAGGGGAAATAGCTTGTTTCTTGTAGCCCCAAGAGGCTACACTCAGCCATGGGTCCCAATATAGCAAGTAAGAGAAACATAATGGTGAAGAGTTGAGATATGATTTAACCCACAGTGAGGAAGAGGAACCAATAAAGAGATTCTATGATCACAAGGTCATTTTCTGGGTGCTAATATAAGCTTAGGTTTACACAAAGGAAGAAACGGGTCAAAGGACAAGAGGCACACATAGTGAAGTCCTGGTCAGTGTGATCCCATTGGCCTAGCTTTGCCCTATAAGCAATGATCTTCATTTGGGAGGGTTGGGTCTATCTGTTTTGTCTTTACAATTCCCAGAATCCAAAGCTCCTGAAGTTTTAGGCCATGACCCTTTTTGCCTCCAGTTTTGAGGGTGAATGAGACAAGTTAGGTGGACAGAGCATTCTTCAGCAACTAATACATTTATGTAGAGTCAAGCCAGTGTCTGACTCAAAGTAGACGGGACAGAAACACAAAGAGGGCAGAGATGTCAAGCTTTAATGCTGCTTTTTGTTACTTTGTGGGTCCAATCAAGGAGTCAAAGTATTCTAAATGCTTGTTATAATACTAAGGTTATTGTAAAAGTTTTCCCAATCCTTTCCCAGTAATATATAGGCTCCCACTTTTCATTAATATGTACTGCAATTTAATACAATAATCTGTAGAGTATATTCTGTGCACTATGCATGAAGAGGCTCAGTAAATAAGCAGTGGAAGATTGTGCCCTGCTATGAGGATGAGGAGGCTTGAACTGACCATGAATTCAGCTCCTGCTACTAAGCACTTTATATAAGCATGGAAAGTACTCAGGAGTCTACTCTAGTCTATCTCCTTTGGTTTTGGTGAAATAGGTTAGGTGACATATTAAGAGCCTAAAACAGCTTTTATGGAAATGTCAGGCAATAGAATGGAGGAGTTTGGAAGCTTTGAGGGGATCATAGTGCTTCCCTCTGTGGTATTTGTAGTAAGTTCCTGATCCAGAAAGTACCTGCTGGATGCTGTCTCCACAGTCAGTTCTACCAAGACACTCATTGTTCACTATAACTAGAGCACAGGGCCCTTAGTACATCTCAGTCTTTGTCCACAGATGTAATTCTTCTGCATTGTTTGGGGTTAGAATCAGCAGCAGCGGGCCTTGGATTTTTCACCCATGAAACCGTGTCTAGGTGATTCTCTTGCACATTTCATCATACATACTTTGAATTTTTTTTCTTGAAAGGAAGGTTATTAAATGAATCAGATGTGCATGGACTAGCGAATCAGTTGTCCATGGCTAGGTGTGAGTCCCAGTTTTCTTTGGCTAAACATATAATTTCTTGCCGCCAGTAGGCATTTGTATGTGAAAGAAAGAACGTGAATGGTGGGCTGGGAAGAGATCTCAGGCTATAAAGTGCTTGCTTTGGGAGCAGGAAGCCTGAGTTCCATCTTCAGAATCCATGTTGAAAAGCAATCCAGGCATGGTGGTATGTGCTTGTAATCCCATTGCTGGGGAAGTGGAGATAGACAGATCCCCAGGGCACACTGGGCAGCCTGACTAACATACTTAGTGAAACCCTGCCCAGTGAGAGTCCTTTCCTTAAAATCCCAATGTGGATGGTGCCTGAGAAATGACACTCAGTCTGACCCTCCCCCCAGTCTCTACATGAATATGCATCCCTGAAATAAAAATGCACCCACATTTACATACAAAATTAAAAGCATGTGAGTGAATTCTAAAATCGGCTCAAGGTAATTAAGTGACTGTGCTGCCAAAAACTGTATACCGATCCTTTCTCCTGCTGGGAGTCTTGCTTCTATGCAATTTCTTTTGTTCGCCAGGAGATCTGAACACTGTCTCCTTTTTCACCATGAAGGGTGGTGTCCCTTCCTCACCAGCGTTGACAGTCTGGCTATGAGGATGTAGATCGGGGCACTGGAGTCTGTGGCTGATATGATCTCCCTGACCTCTTGTGTCTCCCCTTGACTGCTTCACATTGTTTCAGGTGTGGGACCGGAAAACCGCATTGCTGAATACATACCACTAGCTTTGTAGTGAGTGCAATAACACAAGGCTAAACGTTAAAAATGGAATTTTCTTGGTGAACCAAGCAGAGACATTTTCATTTTATTCATCACTTACCTCCACCACTGCAGTGTCCTCCAGTCTCTATGTATTTCTAAAAAAAATACAGTAAATGGAGATTAAGAGGTGTGTGAGGTGTGGATGCTATGGTGACAAAGTTCAATACGCTGAACAGAAGCGAGAGATTTTCATTTTCCAAAAGGCAGCAGCAAACAGCCTTGCTGACCAAACAGCTACACTTATTTTAAGGAATAGAATGGAAAGGCTGCCTAGTTGCAGAGATGGCTCTCACAGAGGGAGGCCTGGGAGATGCCAACTTGGGTTTGTGTGCATTCTAACATCCTGAGAAACCATTATCCCACAATGTAAGTTTATATCCAGCATCGACTGGATGGCCTCGGATCGTTCATTGCTTCGTGCCTGAAGACGCATTAGTGTAAGTGGTGTAATGATGATAACTGTCCTCTACAGAGTGGCTGTAGGGTGCCAGGCACCACGTGAGCAATTACACTATGGAGTTTAGTGGCTATGCTAGGGCTTGGTGTTGAGGTGAAATGTGATAATGAAAGTGAGATGCTTAGCTTGGTGCCTGGCACAAAGTGCTCGATAGGGTCAGGTAGCCCTCGTTCTGTCATGGATGCTTTGAGAGGCAGCCTGGGTTAACACAGTGACAGACTCTCACTTTGACCACGGGCTAAAGCCCGACTTTCCAATTGGGAACAGGTGAACGTCTCTGGGCCTCAGTTTCCTTACTGTGAAGTGAGAATGACAATATCTTCTATATGGTGGGGCTGTTAGGATGGATTTTTTTTTTAAACAATACTTCATTAAAGCGCAGGTGAAGTGCTTGCCATTTTCTACTGCTTTGCATATTCTTCTGCTGGTCCTTACAAACATATGTGGGCATGTTTCACAGACGAGGCTGAGCTGACATTCTCAGACCCAGGGCCCAGAAGTGGTAGAGCCACAGCTCAAACTGGGACACTCCTGCTTTCAAAGTGCCACATTGCCGAATAAATAAGCAGGGATGCTATTTGGCAAGCACAAGTCTTCCCTTTCCCCCACATTTGGTGCTTTGATTTATTATACTAGTAACTTTCTGGTTCACTTTAGTAGGAACTTTGGCCTACAGGATTTTTATTATCCAACATAGGATTTGTTCAGGGCTGTGCCCAGGGTTTCATTATTATTGTGGTTATTGTATTTAGAACTTGTTTGCACAAGTTTCCTCAGATAAAAGATAGAATTTCCATTATTGAAAAATACATCATTTTGAAAAGGAAGACAGAAGTGTATCTTTCTTACTTTTGTCATTTATTTTTCACTTTTTTTTTCCAGATAAAGCTCCATGATATAGTTCAGGCTGGCTTCAAACTCAAAACACTCCTGAGTGCAGGTATTAAGGACAGGTGCCACCATGACCATCTCTGGCTTTACTTTTTACAAGTACATTTTATGACAGGGATGCATTATTTAAAACCCTGTACTTCTATGGCAGAATTCCAGAGGATGGTTGAGAGAATAGATGTCCTTCTTCTGTCAGTTTCTGTTTGATGAACAGATTGATGAGGAGGTGCTCATAGCGCTGAGGACAAGTTAAGTGATAATGAACTTACATGACCACATGACCAATGAGAAAACAGGAGAGTAATTCATCCACCATGTCAAAGTTTATGGTACTCTCAAAGCAGGTACTATAATGATCCAGGCCTCATGGTTCTAACTTCAGGTGAACTGAGAGGCATGAAGCTTATGTGTTGGGAATTTTTGATACTCCCTGGTATATAGAAGTATTGTAAAAGTTGGTGGACTCATATCAGAGTTACCCATGTCAAACTGGGGCAAAAAATGGAGCAGAAGAAGAACACAAAGAGGAGGCTTTCAGGAGTATTTTTCCCAACCACAAGAATTATCTCAAGAAAGATTTTTTTAAGCTGCAGTTTACTATATGAGTCACCCAAAGTGATAGCCACTTATACAGGACATTGACTGACACCCATCTTCCCAATCAGATCCCACCAAACAGCCTGCTGTGATGGACAGTTTTCACCTGATAACTGTAGCTCCCTTCCAAACAGGGCTCCCCAGTTACTGGGTAACACTGTGGGTGCCAGTAAGATTTTTTTTAAACACCATACATAGACTTTAGTTTTCCAACAAAAACTCCAATATTTCTTTGTTTCTTAGACATACTACGGGCTTTTGAATATGACTCTTGGATTGCAGTCTTGTTCTTCTTTGATTCTCAAATGAAATATTCTTTTGTATGATGTATTGGTTGATTTTGACAGGCTACTTATTCAGTGACTCCCCTCATCCTGCTACACACCTAAAATGTGGCCATCAGAGGTACAATTCATTTCTTTTTCTTGTCAGTTGGGTTTAGCTATTGTCATTCTCTCAACATTCAAGTGGATGTATCTTCATATTTTTCTGAACTCTAAGGTGTAGGGAAACATAATAGAAGAAAAGACTCTAACCTTCCTCCCTGCCGGCTGTTGACCTAGCTCCATGGCAGGGAGTTCCTCAGTCACCCTTGTTTTTCATATTTAGAAAACTGGTGTAGGAATCTGACTTCTGAAGGGATCTAGACTGAGTCTCTATTGCTTAAGACATCATCATCTGTTCCTTATAGTATTTTCTTCCTCCTTCCTGAAACAAAGCCTCTTTATTTTTATAATTCTTTGTCTTGAAGAAAGGTTTCTTGCAGAGATTGAAAATTCATCACAAATGTAATGAGAATTATAGAAAAATGAAGTGAGAGCTATCCTGGGCATCTAGAGGTCAGAGAATAGAGACTAAGCATTAACTAGTGTGTACATATGTATACAATTACTTATGAATACATACGTTGTAGAATATTAGCTTAAGATGTGTTACATTCATGTATACTGTGGAATATTTGTTTAATGATGCAAAGATTGTTATGTGTTGCATTCTTTTATGTTGCATTTGTTTAACTCTAGAAAGATGTGCTGCTTTGCCTGTCTAAAACATCTGATTGGCCTAATAAAGAGCTGAATGGCCAATAGCGAGGCAGAAGAATGGATAAGTAGGGCTGGCATGCAGACAGAATGAATTGGAGGATAAATCTAGTCACTAGAGAGAAAGAGGGAAGAGTTAGAAAAGGAGGAGAGGAGGATGTTAGGGACCAGCTACCTAGCCACCCAGCCAGCAAGGGGTAAGAAGGGAAGAAAGACATATAGAATAAAGAAAGGTAAAAATCCCAGAGGCAAAATGTAGAAGAAGAGAAATATGTTAATTTAAGTTAGAAAAACTGGCTAGAAATCAGCCCAGCTAAGGCTGGGCATTCTTTTTTTTTTCCATTTTTATTATTTTTTTTTATTTTATTAGTTCAAATTAGGAACAACTTGCTTCAGATGTCAATCCCTTCTCCCTCTCCCACCCCTCCCCCAAACATCCCACCTGCCCCTAGCCATCCCCCCTCCACTCCAAGGCTGGGCATTCTTAAGTAAGAATAAGTTTCAGTGTATTTACTTGAGAGATGACCACCAAAGAGAAAAAATCCCAACTACATGCATTCTTGGGTTTTTATTGTGCATTTTAGTTTAATCAAACAATCAATCAATCAATGATAGTCAAAGTTAGTAGAGAAAAATCACATTTGGGTGATATGGAGTGGTTTTGCTTTACATAGAATTTTTTTAGTTTGTGCTTTGCAAGCTAAGTTCCTCTTGCTTCTGGCCCCTCTGTGACTGTTGGCATTGACGGCTTTGCAGCTGCTGCAACATTGCTGCTTGTTAGAGTGTCCTTGAGTCTTTCTGGTCTTGTTCCTGTTCTGTGACTCCTTGCAAAAGAGCTACGTTAAGAATGAACCATGCTGTGTCTGCTCTATCACAGATCAATTAAGATGCTGCATTGATTTGCTGTAAACTTTGCTTTAGTCTTTTTACATAACAAATTGGTTAGATTCACAATTTATTGGTCATTTAACCATGATTCTCTGCTTTCCATAAATTTTTATCTCCTTAATTCCCATCCACGGCTCTATGTTTGTCTTAAAAACTTAAATTCATTCATATACTATTTTATTTGCAGAATAAGACACAAGATATCCTCACATTTTATCTCCACCTCCAATCCATTTTTCAACCTAAAAGTCAACCTCATTTATCACTTACAAAGGTGTTTTGAATAAAAAGTCCTTATAGTGTAGATGTCAACAAGATGTCACTTTGCCATGACTGTAATTGAGCTTTTGTTAATGGTTCTATAGCTATTCATTTAACACAAAGAGGCAGAACAAAGTTTTTTGGAAGTCATCTGTGGTGTTCTCTCAGCATTCACACATCAAAAATATCATAGGGGGATGGTAGAGCTTAGAGCAGAGTGAAACATCCATGATGGATGCTGTATTAATGGATGTAAGGACAGCAAAAATGATGTGTCTGAGTGAGAAATAAATTGGTTCACTTTGGTGGTGCATAAATTCTATCAAGCCATTTGGACGCAGTTTAATAAATTTTGTTTCATTGCATGAAATGGTTTCCTATTAGCTGAAAGGGGTGGAGGCTCATGAGAGAGAAAAACTATGCAAAAGGAAGTCACAAATGTGTTGATTAGATTAACAATTGAGAGGAAAGAGGACTCTGAGAAAGAGGAAATGGGGCAGAAGACAGTGAGTTGCTCTGTGTGGTTTGGCTTTCTCTGTAAGTCATAGTCTTCTTTTCTCCAAGTGTAGGGAGTGCTTTACTCTTGCTTTTCTGCATAACAAATTACTGCAAGCAAGCAGGTGCCTCACACCTTCTGTGGGTTAGGAGGGTAAACAAGACCAAGCTGAGTATTGCCAAGTCAGTGGGTCAGCTTCAAACCTACACAGGGCACTGAGAAATTTCTCATCTTTGTAGCCAGGAAGGCCCTCATATCATGCAGACCTTTGTTCAGAGACTCATCACAAATTCTAGAGGCTGTCTCTCATTCTATGTGACCTTGTCCTCATTGTAAGGCCTGTTATTACATGACCATGGGCATCTGTAAAGGAGGGCCATTCAGAGACTATGGCAAATCTATTAGCAGGCGAGAACTAGGCAGAGCATTATTTCAGTGATATTCCAGGACCTTGCCATCTTCTGTGACTAAGACACAAGTTACAGGTCGTGTCCTCACTTGAGAGCAGGGGAATCTTAAAAGGACAAGAAAATCATCTGTCCCTTTACATTTAATCAGGACATTTGAGTCATGTGTAGTAATGGAAATCAGCTCCATCTCGGTAAGAAAGTGTTTTCAGATGTGTGTGACTCTCTTCAGTCTGCTAGGCAGAAGAGGAAGCCACATCCTTCAGACATTTTGCTGTCATATCTGACTTCCTCAGTGTCAGTTGATGTGTTTATCTTCAGAAGTTTGTTGGGTGAGAAAATCATAATGAACTAAAATCTGCCTTGGTGTGCTTCCATCTATTTGAGATTTTCTTAACGGAAGGATAATAGGTGTTCTTTTGAATTATATCAAAGTGACATTGGTGTCCCAGCATGTGGCATGATTCTTACTCAGTTACTAAGAAGAACTGATCTACAAAGATCTCCTCAGATGTATCCATTTCTGCACCAGCTAACATCTCCTGAAAAA